TGCTGCTGCTGCGGCCGCTTTTGCTCTGGCTGCGGCTGCAGAGTGTTTTCCATGACTCCGCCGTGCCCTCCTCCTCCTCTTCCCTCCTTCCTCCTCCTCCTCGGCTACTGCTGACTAACGCTCCTCCTGGGCACTCTCCCCAGCCGAAACGGGTCACACGTGCGCAGCGCCAGCCCCAGACGGGGCAGCGGTGAGGGAGGGGAGTTCGTCAACGGGCAGCCGGCAGCGGGCCTGACTCACGCATGCAGAAAATAAAATAAGAGGGAGGAGAGGCAGGAGGTAGCGAAGCACGTACAAGGATCTCCGCCCCGCCTCCCCTGCAGGAGCTGGCAGCGCTAGGATCCTCCCCGGGAGACTGCCTGCCCGGCCTCATTTGCCCGCGCTCTTCACCCCCTCCCTCCTTCCCGGCTCCATTTGCCATCAAAAAACCCAACAACAGCGCATGCGCCCCGAGAGCCAAGCAGCAGCCGATCAGCTTCATTAGAAGAAAGCTTGCCTATGCGCATGTGCAAACTGTGTAAAAATTTTAAAAATGCCGATGCGCTCTGTTGAGTGCCTGAAGTGTGGATGGGCATAATGCGATGTGCTGCGCAGTCAGGAGGTGAGTGTGATCGCGTTTCAGCCGGCATAAACTGCAACAGTTCCAACCGGTACAGTTTAAGCCGGCTGAAACGCCCCGTCTGAACACACCCTCTGTGACATGACTTAGTCTGCAACAAAATGTTGAATCACATTTGGGATGGACTGTTTGCCTTAATCCAGCAATAATATCCATTGAGGAGCATTCAGCTTGGATGGGTGGCATCTTCCAGTTACCTTTAAGGTGTAGTGCTCTATCAGTTCTCGGTCCAACGATTTGGCCACAAATACTTCTCCATAGGTGTTATTGGTTGTACGGATTTCAAAGGCCCTGCCTATGTTTCCCGACACTATAGAAAAAGCCACCTGTACAATAAATAATAAAGCATGAAGGAGTGATTAGGACAAGTGAGGAGCATTGCCATCCAAGAGACAGGAAGAGAACAAGGTCATAATGTGACACCATGCCCTTTTTGTGGGAATGAACAAACACACACACACATTTCTAGTGGTTCAGGGAATTAGATAGTAGAGAGCCTACCCATGCAATATTTATACAACTCTACTGCCATTCACGTTCCAGATTAGATTCTATGTATTGTTTTGTGTAAAGGATGATGATAGAGGAGTTCATGACTAGCTTATCAGTACTCAGTATGGCTATATACAGCTTTGCACGGCTAAAAGCCATATTCAGTTTTTATTCACTTAGTCTAAAGTTTAGTATTGCCTACTAGATATGTACTCACTGTGCATGCTGGGGAGGAACACATGGGAAATAAAGATTGGGATTTATAGGGAGAATTATGTAATTTAAAACTATTTTAATTATTAATTACTTAATTTGTAGTAGAGAGTCCTCACAGGAAAGAGATGATGAAGAGGTTTGTGTAGGAGAACAAGGCCGAGAGCTGTGCTAAGTGAAGTAAAGATTTTGTCCTTGAGTGCTAAAACATCTATAGAAATTTCTCCAGTTTTTAATAGAAACTGTCACCCCATTGACTTTCATCAAGAATAAGAGGCCAAAAACACTTTTCAGAAACACTCGAATTCCACGGCTTATTCTGTGGTTTTGAGCTACACTCTACCCTCCCAGTTGAGAAAATGTGGAGCGAATGATAGATGCAGAATCACCCAAATCTTGCTCTGCAGTTCAATCGCAACAATGCAGATCTCCACATTCCTTTGTCTTTAAAAACACAAATTTTGGTCAAAGCAACTGAAGGGATAGTTAATCACTGTTAAGTGCTCTTCTGAACTGTTCTGTGAACTCCATTCAGTACATTCACCATAAATTCAATATGAAGAATATGAAAGCAGGATTTACCTTTGGGCATGACATGGCTTGGGAAATTTACAATAGCTGATTAAGACCAAAAGTCAAAGGAAAGGAAAAAACCCCACCAATGCCACACCTTAAACGCAGAGTACTTCCTGTCTGAAACTAGAGGGAACTTCCTTTTGGTACATTGTGGTGGTGAGAAAGGCAGCATCTGTTTTTCAGATTTTTCAAGTCCATTGTCCTATCTGTCAGCTGTCAAGCAGCTTCTTGGCACCAAAGAACTTATTTTACATGTTATTTTCCCCCCATTATCTTTCACAGCCACCTGCTCAGCAATTGTGCTAAGTTACATTTGCCACTAGCCACTTCAAATTGCAGAGAAGCTCTGCAGCTCAATATTAGAAACATAGTGCTGGAATGTGAGGGAGTGAGGACAGAAGAAGAGTAATAATATAGGATTTGGGGAACCGACCCATGGTGAGGTCCATAACTCCTAGATGTCTTCATTTAAAAGTAATCACTCATGGCAGCAGCAGCAAGAGATTGCATATATATAGTCCCTTCAGGTCACTACTCTTATTTGGTTACCCTAAGGCTTCCTTCCACTAAGAAAGAGGAAATTAATGGGGTCCAGGATAGGGATGGGCACAAACTGGGAAAATGTGATTAGGTTCGTGGTTCATGGTGTTCGCAGTTCGTGAACCACAACAGTCATGAACTTTTAGCCACCAAATGAACCGGCGTCATGAACTTTTAGTTCTTTCCATTTCAGAGAAAGGTTTGGTTCATCAGGTTTGTGATGAGGTATAGTGCCCCCCCCCAGTGTGCTAGAGACAACAAAATTGGAGGGAATCTCTGGCTGACTCCTCAACCTGCCCTCCATGTTTGGTGTGGACTGGATTTATGGCATCCAGGTTATGGCCTTCCAAAGAAGGTGCCCCCAGGAAAGTGCTTTCTGGAGAAATGACAGGCACAGGTTCAGGACTGTTTCAAATGGATCCTGTACAAGCTAGAGACATCAAAGTTGCAGGGGACCTCCCCTGGATGCTCCTCTACATGGCCTCCAAGTTCCACCCATGCATTTCTTTGAAGTTTGGTAAACATTTTGATTGAGCAGAGATCATCTATTTGGAAACGTATCCATTTATGAACCACCATGAACAGTTTGAAAGTTTGTGGAAAGTTGACCTGCTGGTTGACTTGCCATGAACTTCACTTCATGAACCAGCCAAAATTCATCACAAACTTTAGTTTGTGAGCCCATTTGTGTCCATCCCTAGTCCAGGGCAAGGCCTCTTTTCATTTTTAAGTACCACCCTGTGCTGGCACTGGTAGGCATAGCAGGACAGCAAATCTTGTCTGTGGTCTTTGCTGCTCCCTCTGACTTCACTGGAATTCTCTGAATCTGGTACACATGAGTGGTCTATACTTTTTTTCTTTATAATAGAAGCATATGGGGTATATATGTATTGACAAAATTAAAAATCTTTCTTCAAAATGTAAAGCTGTGTAGATGTCAGGAAGTGTGTTGACATCCACATTTGGAAAGTTCCCCCTCACACTTCTCCACAGTTTCATGGTGCATTTGTGCACCTCCTGGCTTTTCCATGATCTTTCCCAAATCTGCTTTGCTGTGACGCTTTGAGGATGGCTACCATATAGGTGGTAAAGTTCAGATTTTGTTGGTCCTGCCCATATGCCAGCCATTCATTCTGTCCCTTTTCTCATGGTAGCCACTCTTCCTATCACGAGGTTTTTCCTATCACGAGGGTTTTTTTTAAAATAACAATTGAATGTTGTTATAACAATTTGTGAATCAGGGTCTCTAAACTTCCAGCTTTCAGAATTAAAAAGTAAACCTTTAGTTCTTTCCATTTCAGAGAAAGGGGAAAGGCATATCTCTGCAATGGAAGGAGTTAGAGATTCACTTTTTTTAAAAAAAAGCAAACCTAATACAGAGATTGTTATAATGTTGGCATGGTATAACAATATTCAATAGCCATTAAAAAAAAAAAAAGCCCCAGTAGCCTGAGGAGGGAGGATGATGGTTGCGGCCAGGAGACTGGGGAGGAAAAATGTGGGGAAACCTATAATGTGGAAGCCCTGTTGCTGCTGCCCTGTATGACAGCCACAACAGCTGCAGGGATCCCATACTATCATGTCATTGCACTGTTCTCCCTCCAGATTAAATACAGCTCTGTCCCAGCCTCTAAAACTCAGAAGAGAGACTGCAGATTTTAAAGTATACTTTTCCAACTTAAAGAATCAAGTTGGCAGAGATGTTTGGTGACTGTGGGGCCCAGCAGGACTCTCGTATTGGCTCCCCATGCTCTGATTTTGCCTAATAATAAATAATTCAAATCAGCAGGTGTTTAGAAGAATAGTGCAAGAGCAGTGGTTTCTCTGTCAGTCTATGAAGCTGTCTGAACAGCTGATTCTGTGACCCTGAGTTGGGTGTATACCTTCTTAGAATGGATCAAGTATTCAGCACAAAGCAGGAAGTGTGCAGTAAAAATGAAAGTATGTGTCATAACAATTAGGGGAAGAAGGCTGGGTTACAATTAATAGTCAGCATTTGAATATTGATAATACTCTATTGCAATGTTACTTTTAATCTCCAGAACTCTTGCACAGAAACTAGCCATTCATCAATGCCAATCCCACATTGAAAGCACTGATCCATAGAGGAATAAGCCAGATCTGACTGACCACCCATTCGATTGACTTCACACATGATTACTGTAAAATCACACAAGCATTGCTACCTGCCCATTGCTTCCTGCATCAGGGTCTCTGGCCAAGACCAAAGCTATCCGTCGTCCAACAGAACTATCCTCTGGTACACTCACAGATGAGTCAGAAGTAATATCAAACTGTGGGCTGTTGTCATTCTCATCCAAGATGGTGATGGTAACCTATCCAATGGAGAATGCAAATATGAATGAGAACTTTTCCCTTTCACCTTCAGAAGCACAGCTACTGACTGATTTGTTCTAGTCAAGATTTTTGAATAACTGGAGCAATTTATCAACAAAATCTTGGAGCATTTCTAGACTGGAAAATGCAACCTGGTTTAATTTTGACTCTTAATTTGACTCTCAAAAACTTATACCCTGAAATTGGTCTCTAAAGTGCTACTGGATCTGAATCTAACAGACCTAAGGAAGTTTCTGGGGAAACAAAAATGACCACAAAAACTAGTTTCCAAGGTGTTTTCACATATGTCATAGATAAAGCCTCCTTCTCCATCCCTCTGCTTATTTCCGTTTCAAATATGATCTTGGTCTCAAAGATGGAGGCCTTAGCCTGAAAGATTAAGATTCCCCAGTACTTTCAGGGCTGGAAGAAAAAGGTGTATGTTTGTGCAGAACTAATGCAATTCCTCCAGTCCTCACACAAACACATTGATGGGAAGAAAGAACCTGGAAATCGATGTGGAGGCTATTCCCTTCCCTAGTGGTGCTGCTGCATGAACTCTTTCAGGCCAGCAAGATATGGGCATTCCAAAAGGCTGTAACATCCACAGCAGCAAAATGTTCCCAGGATTGTTCCTTCATAACAGTAAAAAGGAAGAAGGCTAGTTGTTATGGATTCACTGCAGCTGCAGTCATGAGTTCAGAATCACCCAAAGGGTTCTCAAGCTGTGCTTTCTGCTAAAGGAAATGTTTTCACCTCTAAAAATAACTTGATCATGGCATACACACACACACACACACCTGGGGGGGGGGAGATCTTTTCATTCCTGAGTTTTTATTTACCTGACTAGAGGTTCCAGATGTAGAATTAGTCTTGCTGGGGACTTTGAGGGTCCTGGCAACCCTAGGCAGAACCGTCACCTCAATGTGATGTAGAATGCTTGCATTATATTTGTAAGCAATTCTGGCCATATAGCTGAGCATATATTTGCCTCATATCCAGTCTAATAAAGGGTATCTATCACCTTACATTTGGCATTCTATGTTGTGCCAATTATGACAATATGTAGTGGCAGCTGTTTTTTTGAAAAAACAAACTGAAAGTACCAAAGGCTGCAATGAATAAAGAAAAGATGACCACAACAGGAAAATAAATTTACTTGCCTTCTGTTGGAAGAGTCCGCATATGTCACATAGAAGGGGGAAAAAGTGGGGAAAAAAGGTTATTAGCTTTTCAGCCTTCTAAGCATTATGGGCTGAAATCAGTACTTTGGAGGAAGTTGTGGGAGTCATCATTGCTGTTAAAAAGCAAGCACCCTAAGTAAACTGCTTTTCTCATGGCTCTCATCCTCTGCTGTTACATTGTCTAGTGTCTTGATCAGCCACAAATTTAACACCTAGGACCTATCAGCAAATACTGAACTATTTCTACTAGGCCACCATCTACTTTGAGCAGCCAAATGCCTGAAGAAAAAAATATCATCATTATTCTTATAGGGCTGTTATTTACTACGTAATGTTATTAACTTCCATTCCATGAAAACTTCCTCTGCCCATTTCTACATGTTAAGCCTCAATTAAAGGGGTGGGGCATTTTTCTCCATGCCCATTGGCAACCCTAAACCTACCTTTAGTCAGAGTACACCAATCTCATAAGCTATTGGGTCCCTTCAAAGTTTCTTCCTGTCTTCTGTGCTATTCAATATTCACATCTCACAGCAACTGATTTCTAATATAATCTGTTTTTGATCATGTGATCAGAAACAGGACATGGGTAAATTACTTTTTTCTGCACCAACATACAAAATGCCTGGGCACTCCTTCTCACACCTCACCCACAGAACTGCCTGTTAAGACTAAACATTGCTTGTTGAAAGTAGGGATGCTGCGAATTTCAAGTTGAATGTGTTCACAGCTGGACTTGCTGCATTTGGCTATCCCAAGAAAATATGAGCCAACCACCCAATCTGTTCAGCTCCTACCAAACAAAAACTGCCTCCCAAACAGAATTCTGTTTGCTATATAAGTTGCATTACCCAAGGATAAAAGAATAATTATGGCAATAGAACAAGCTAGGCAACTAGCAGAAGAATGAACAACTGAAAATATGAATAACGAATCCGAGAAAGAAAATGGGTGGTGGGAAATCACCCATCAGTTCAAGAGCCCAAAAATAAGAAGGCAAAAGAAAAACAGGTTGCTTACCTGTAACTGGTGATCTTTGAGTGGTCATCTGTGCAGTCACACCCATGGGATTATGCGCCTGCACTGATGCGAATCGGTGGTATGCAAAGCTCACAAAGGGATTTTCCCACCTCCCTCCCAAGCATGCGCGGGAACAGAGGCAGAGATGTGCCACAATGACCACCATCATCTTGGTGAAGACCTGCGGGGCCATGCTGAGGCCAAACGGTAGACTCCTGTATTGGTAGTGGCTGCTTCCTATCACAAACCTGCGGTATTTCGATGGGAGGGGTGGATAGTTAAATGGAAATAGGCCTTCCCAAGGTTGAGGGTGGTCATCCAGCATCCTCGAGAAAGGAGAGGCAGAATGACTGGTAGGGATGTCATTTTGAACTTCCGGTACTGTATATAGGCATTGAGGCTGTGATGGTCTAAGATCGGCCTCTGCCCACCATCCCTTTTGGGTACCATGAAGTACCGGGAATAAAAACCGAGTCCCTGGTGATCTAGAGGTACACGTTCTATAATACCCTTCGATAGAAGTGTGGTGACTTCTTCGAGGAGGAATGACGATGGGGGAGTGGTATATTAAATAAACGTAGTAAAAGGCAAAAAGAAGAATGATTGCAATAATCCCTCGTGAGAGGAAAATAACGCTTCTTCACCGACCAGCAAAAAACAAGCTGTTAACAGCGTGGCAGTCAGAAAAGAAATGGCGGGATGTCTGCGCCTCTTTGGGGTTCCCGCACATGCCTGGGAGGGAGGTGCGAAAATTCCTTTGTGAGCTTTGCATACCACCGATTCAGATCAGTGCAGGTGCATAATCCCATGGGTGTGATGCACAGAGACCATGAAGAAGATCAAAGAAGTACCAAAAGAGGAAACATTAGATCAAGCTGCAACACTATAATAAAATGGATAAAATGAAGACTGTATCGATAAATATTAATGGTCTAAACTCTGCCTCTAAACAAACAAAAATATTCAACATTAAAAAACCCAAAATGCAGATATCATATGTATTCAAGAAAATCATGTAAAGAAAAATCTTGAACATATCCTAAACAAAATTGGGTAGTTTATGTGGCCTGAATAAAACAATTTTAATGGCTAAATAAAACAATTTTAATTGAGATTAAGCAATTAAGAAACCAATTAGACATGCTTGAAACTGAAAAGAAAGTAAGCTTTTTAAAACAGAAGCATTTTGAACATGCAAATAAACCTGGAAGATACCTGGCACACCTTTTAAGAAAAGAAACCAAAAGGAGAATGATAACAGGAGTGAAGAAAGAAGATGGAATTACTCGTGTGGAAAAAGAGATACAGGAACAGTTTACTCTTTTCTTCTCAAAATTTTACAAGAATAATTCAGTAGTAGAAGAAGGAATAGAGGAGTTTATAAAAGACACACATATCGAGAAATTTACATTTGAACACAGGGATACTTTGAATCAAAATATTACGATCTAAAAAAATCTCACAAGCAATAAAGAAACTGAAAAGAGACAAAGCGGCAGGCCTAGATGGACTTGCATAAATGTATTATGAATGCTTGGAAGAAAAATTAATGATACCACTGCAGAAAGTTTGAATGAAATAAGCAAGAGAAACCACTGCCTCCATCATGGCAAGAGGCTCACATAACATTGATACATAAAAACAATGATCCAACACTACCACAATCTTATAGACCTATCTCACTAGTGAATGTGGATTATAAACTTTTTACCAGAAAGCCAGTTTGGTGTAGTGGTTAGGAACATGGACTCTAATCTGGGAGAACTGGGTTTGATTCCCTACTCCTCCACATGCAGCCAGCTGGGTGACCTTGGGTCCGTCACAGCTCTCTCAGAGCTGTTCTCTTAAGAGCAGTTCTCTCAGAGCTCTCTCAGCCCCACTTACCTCACAGGGTGTCTGTTGTGGGGAGGGGAAGGGAAAGGATATTATAAACCGCTCTGAGACTCCTTCAGGTAGTGAAGGGTGGTGTATGAATCCACTCTCTTCTTCTTCTTTTACTTCAATAATGTCAGAATGGTTAAGGAAATGTATAACAAAATTAATTCATACAGACCAGACTGGTTTGTACTAAAAAGATTTTGTGAAAGATAATGTATGTTTTGTGACTAGAAATGCAATAGAATTTCTGAAAAAGAAGGGGGAAAAAGCAGTGTTTATGTTTCTGGATGCTGCAAAAGCACTTGATAATATGACCTGGTCTTTTTTATTAAGAAGCTACAATATATGAACTGTGGCTCAAGGTTTATGAATTGGATAGACTATTTACACAAAACAGCATGCAAAGATTTTAATAAATGGAACATTAACTGAAGGATTCAAAATTGAAAGAAGAACAAGACCTAAAAAGTGGATGGAGAAGAATTTAAAATGAAAAGTTATGCTGATGATATGGTTCTGACAATCTTAAATCCCCATCTGTCGATGCAACATATAATTGCATGCAACATACAAATTGAAAAATTTGGGTCCTTTTTGGGTTATAAAATCACACGGAAAAAACAAAAATAATTTTAAAAATTCTAACAAAGCAAAACGAGGAAAGTATCAGTAAGACTACAGGATGTGAAATAACATCAAATCCAATTAAATATCTATGAATAAATCTGACTGAACAGAACAATACATTATTCAAAGCTAATTACAAAACAGCATTGGTAAAGATACAAAGGAGAGATGGTCCAAATGAAAAATATGGTTGGGAAGAATCTCTGTAATAAAAATGAATGTATTGTCAAAACTAATTTTTTTAAAAAATTCAGATGTTACCAGTTTATATACAAGAGAAGACTTTGAAGGAATGGCAGAACCAAAGAAATAAGTTCATATGAAATGGCAAAAACAACAACAACAAGAATTAGATTTAAAGTTCTTCAAGATGAGAAAAAAGAGGAGGCCTAGCAATACCTAATATCAAATTATACTACCAAGCAGCAAGCTTGGTTTGAATTGCAGATTGGATTAAAAACCCATATGAAAGATTAATGAAATTAGAAACAGCAGACTTGGATGCAGGATTGCATAAGCTACCTTTGGACTAAAAAATCAATTAAAAAAAAATAATGCAAAATAGAAGCCATGTAATCAGAGACCATTTATTTAGAATTTGGGAGACTATAAGAAGGATTAGCCCTCCAATATCCCCTTTAATGTTACCCATAGATGGATATAATGATAAACATGTGAGAAAAAAATAATGACTTTAGAATCCCAAACACCAAGATGAGCCTGGCTGTCTCACACCTGGCATCTAGTGGTGAGAGGAAACAAACTGGTTTCGAAGATAAGAGCTGCTAATTAAGCATGACAGAGAAGAATATTCTCTCGAGAATGGCCTGACAGCCATCCCCTCACAGAACTCAAGGCAACTAAAGGTCAAGCACCAGCCTGTAACAAAGATGGAGTTACAAAGGCTATACAGAGAACCAATAATAAAGGCATTTTATAGGATGAGTTGCTCAGTAACACTGAAAAAAGATTTGCTAGAAACCAAAACAGCAACAGTGCAATAGAAAAAGGAATTGTACTATGAAGTAACAATCTTTGCATATGGGAAATACATTGGAATACAAACCAACCTAGCTTTGAAAATAGTAGCCAAGGCAACATTTCTTTAGCATACAAAAGAGATTACAACAAAAATAGCTCACCACAGTTGAGTCAAGCTTTGGACCGCCATCATCTGCTACAACCGTTAGGGTGTAGAAATCTCCCTTCTCACGATCAACTTGTCCTTTGACTGTGATCACACCCTGACAGGGAAGGAATAAATACATGAAAACCATGGATTCCCACATGCCAGGCTATTGTACCAGTTGAAGGAAGCTGTAGGTAAGATACTTACAGTGATTCCATTGATCTTGAACAAAGACAGAGCTTGGGCATTAGTGTTGGGGTCAAATTTGTATGTGATTTGATTGAGATTGTCAATGGAGCGTGCCTGGACTCTCAGCACTTCAGAGCCCAAGGGGATGTTCTCTGTGATCACTGCTTCATAGGTGACGTTTGAGAACTGCACAGCCTCATCCAGTTCATTCAGGAGGCTGACATAGACATTGCAGAAGCCTTGGTTTTTGGGGGGTGCTTGATCAGTGGCTGAAACATTCATCAGGTAACTGGTTTTTGTCTCATAATCCAGGTAGTCAATTGTGGTAATGAGGCCTGTGCTCTCATCAATTTCAAACTTTCCTTCAGAGCCTGAGACAATTTTATAATTCATCAGACCTCCATTTCCTTGTGAGAAAAAACAAACAAACCAACAAACCATTTAGTAACTGTTCTCATGGATCTGAAGAAGGCTAAAACATTTGATGTGATTTTGTAACCATCATTTTGGGAACATAGTTAGAATACAGACAGTAGAGAGTGGGAAGGTACAGACTGCAGATAGATAGGATCTATAGATACTATAGATAGAGCATAAAGAGTATGAGTATAACGCCCACAGCAGTCCAACAGTGGTAAAGTGTTGTTCAACTGACTGCTTGATATTTAATAGGGAACTGTTCTTCCTATTTATTTTATATAGTATTGCATACGTCACTACACAGAATGATGTAAGCCCCCTTGTAAAAATGGTTTACAGCCTAAATTAACACACAGCTACCTAGGTGGTCGTATGGGGGCAGTAAGGCAGGATAAAAAATCTTGTCAATAAAATCAAATAAATAGAAGGAAGAGGAGGACGACAAAAGGAGGGAGCAAAGAAACATGATAAAGCAAGGGATGAATGTGAATCAGAGCAGTCACATGTATCTAAGGTTTGCTTTCAGAGATCAACTACACTTAATGTTCATGTTCTGTAACTGGAACTTCCAATTTGTTTTCCCGCTCTAAAAAGCCTAGAGTTGCCAGGTCCATCAGAAATGCTGGTGGGGGATGGGAGGGACATTTCGGGAGCCGGGAGCATTGTGACATGACACAGGCACATTGGTGATGTTAGGGATGATGCTCTGGTTTTGGGGCAAAACTCTATGGTAAAATTAGCCTCAACCCATAGGTTAGTGCCAAAACCAGAGCCTATGTCACTTCTGGGTGACGTAGACATATCATGTTTATTTCTGGTGATGTTGCTATGTGTGTGTGGGGGGGTTCCTCCTGCTGGCCAGCCAACCCCCCACCCCCAACTGGGGAATGGCAACCCTTAAAAAGCTGCCATGGTTGATATGGATTAGGGCTGTGGGGTTCTGGGAAAGGGTGTGTTAATTACTCTTTATGGCATTTTCCCAATCAAAAATGGCTCCCTCCTCAATTATTTTAGGCCCAGTTTGGGGGGGGGGGCACACAAAAGACAATCTAGGCATAATAAGGGTACCTGTTGGTTTTTGCTAGGGAGATGAAAAGCATGTCAAGGGGGTGTTTTGGATTGGTAGCATGAGGGGAAAAGCTCATCCATATTGGGTTATTCTGCAGCTGCTTTTTAGAACAAAAACACATTTTGGGAGTTCCAGTAATGAGACTCAGATACCATGTGCAGTTTGACTGTCAGCAACGGATTATAACTAAAGGGAATCAAGTTACAAAAATTTAAAGGACTTTACAAAATGGCTCCCATGTGCTGTCAAAACAAAGTCTGCATGTGCTACAGGTTTCTACAAAAACAGTGAAACCCTAATCCCCATCAGACTCAAGTCAGAAGAGGCTAATCAGAAACCATTACACAGTAGGGTTGCCAGCCTCCAGGTGGGAACTGGAGATCTCCCACGTTTTGAAAAAAAAATCCTCGTAGGGATATTTTTTATTTTGCAAATACTACAAACTACAGAAGAAATATAGGGGAGGGACTACAACTAAGGAGAAAGAAAAGCAAACCACACTAAACTAAAACCCCAAGAGGAAGAGATCTTTTCCCTGCTAGTAATGATGTTAGTATAATTAGTTTCATTATCACAATATACTTGTTGAGTTCTTGCTTATAACAGTTCACTTCTTATATGCTATTTTGTTAGTTGTTATAAGAGAAGTCTCTGATCATCTTCTTATTCTTCGTTTCAAAAGGCCATTTTCCAAGTCCTTCTGCCTTTACTTCGGCTTTCTGTCTCTAAAATCGTATACCACTCTGGCAGGTCCCGCACCCTTTTCTGCTGCAGAATCGTTTTCCGTTCCCGAGGTAGCAGAGTCACTCGACTTCGATTCTCCCTCTTTGGACTCATCATCTGTCCCCAACTGGCATTTCAAAAACTCTTTACCTTTAAAAGTGGAGTCTATCTTCTCTCTTCTATTGTTGACCTTAAAGATGACACCCTCCGGGACCGCCCATCTGTACGATATTCCATTAGTTTGAAGAAAATAAATTAATTCCTTGTAATTTTTCCTCTTTTGTCTGATTTCAAATGGAATGTCCTTTAAAGTTTTAATGGTAATATTTCCCATTTTCAGTGGGGTTGCTGATGTTGCT